TCCTTCCCCTCTCCCTCTCCCTCTCTCCCTTCCTTTCTTCCTTCTTTCCTTCCTTCCTTCTCCTCTCCCTCTTCTCTCGATCCCTTTCTCCCTCCCTCCCCTCCCTCCCTCCCTCATTCCTGAAAAGAAAGAGAACCAGAAGACTGGGTTTTTTTAAAAAAAAATGCTTGCATCCATCTGTTTGGGGAATCTGTCAACTCATGTGACGGCAACAATTCCCATTGTTGAATTCTCTGGACTCTTGTGATCCCGAGGCAGGAGGATGTTTGATGTTCCCAAGTGAGAAATATCCCTCTGGATTCCTGTCAGAGCTGTCTCTCGGATGGCCATGATGGCTGCTTTCATCTGGTCATGTTTTTGCTTCGCCTCGATCCCCTCCATCTTTTTCTTCCTTCATCTCTTACAAGTTGTTGTCATCTGCACTTCCTGTTTGGTTGGAGAATAAAAAAGGGAGAAGTCAAATACCTACTTTTTGAAACTCCCTTTCACTTTCCTTCCTTCCTTCCTTCCTTCCCTCCCTCCCTCCCTCCTTCCTTCCTTCCTTCCTTCCTTCCTTCCTCCCTCCCTCCCTCCCTCCCTCCCTCCCTCCCCCTCCCTCCCCCTTATTTTTCCTTCTCTTCCCTTTCCTTTCCTTTCCTTCCCTTTCTTCCCTTTTCCCTTTCCCTTCCCCGTTTCCCTTCCCTTCAGCCTTATGTTTCGTGGCATATTTGAAATTATATTCAACACCGATGTAACCTTTTCCTTCTTATCTAAATTTATCGTCAATTTATCTGAACTTATCTTCAGTGCATTTGAACTTGCCTAGTCTAAACAATTACTAGCTGATACCATGGTGCCCAGCTTGTGCCTGTAGTTTATAATGAAAGATTTGCATCTCGTAATGAACTAAAGCAATTAGTCGGAGGGAGAGGGAGACAAGAGGATGGTTAGGGAAGTCCTACCCTTTTGGGTTGGGCAAGGATTTAATCAAGGGCCATTCTGGGTGCCATCTTGCCTTTGTTGACCCCTTCCGCCCTAATCTCAGCTCTTGGGGTTCCAGATCTTCATGTACTCAAGTCATTTCCATTTTATTTTATGCATAGGGAAATTAGAGGTGCATTTACTCACTGCCTCCCTCCTCAGGGAGCGTTGCCTGGTTATTCCAATGGCAACATCTGCATTGAAAAAAACAGACGAGAAAGTTGCTTACTTCATCAAGCCCGGTGCCTCTCCAAATCCAGCCAGAGCACCAGCGGGTCAGAAAACGTATGGCTTAATCAGTGCCAAATATAAAGGTGAGTTGGGTGCCAGGGGAAAAGAAATGATGCCCAGATACAAGAGTGTCCCCAATGATCAGGAAAAGAGGGGTCTTAGCTTCTTGTCAAATTGATGTTTATATTAGATGTGGAGACCTTTTGAGAGCTGCATGCAATGTAATTTCATTTTAACGTGTGCCAATTAGTGTACATTTAAAGTGACAATAAAGTCTTCTCTTCTCTTCTCTTCTCTTCTCTTCTCTTCTCTTCTCTTCTCTTCTCTTCTCTTCT